GGAAATCCTATAACAAAAAAAAAAAAAAAAAAAAAAGCAGGAGAGAGAGAGAGAGAAAGAGAGAGAGAGAGAGAGAGAGAGAGACTCAGATTGCAAGGGAACTGTGTGGCTTTGTTGCCCATTGGTTCAGTGTGGTGCAGGTAGGAGAATGTGTCTGTCTTAGTTATTTTTCTCTCATTGCTGAGACAAAATACCTGAAACTGAAAGGTAAAGGGGGTCAGGTTTATTTGGCTCACAGTTCAAGTAGGTTTCAGTCCATAGTTGACTGGCTCCAAGGCGGAGTGGCACACGGCAGACAGGTGTTACAGAGGAGAATCAGTTCACTGCACACAGAAGACAACAAAAGCAACAAGGGGCCTTAACAGCGTCTCTCTGTCCCCTTTTGTCTTATTCAGACTGCCTAGGGCAGGCAGCACTCATATCCTAATCCCAGTGCCCTTGAGCCTACCACTGCACCATGAATGATCTCACACTCTAGATCCAGTCCCCCTGAAAAGCCCCACCTATGACCCCCAGGAGTCTTGGGGGACATCTGGACACAGCCATAGCAGCATCCCAGTTCCTGGTTCCTCCCTTGGGACAGAAGGAAGCCAGCAGAGCCTGTATGAGGTGTGCTGGTGACCAAGACATTGTCCTGCATGGTACAGCTGGGGTCAGGTGGGGCCGCAGGGAGCAGTGGTGATGCTATGGGCGGGAGGTGGGCAGAATAGCAGCCCAGGAGTGACAGCACAGCTGAAGTCCTGAGAGGCAGCAGTGTGAGTCTGTGAAAAGTAAGAGGTTTAAAAGCAGCTTCATATGGGGCAATGGAGAGGTAGGACACTCATGGCCTCAGCAAAGGGGACCTCATGGCTTTGCACCTGACTGTGTGTGGTTTGCTCCAGTTTGGAGCCTGGGGAGGGCAGTGCACTTACTTTCACATTCCCAGATCCCCACACAAGGTCATAGCTGAAAAGGCAAATCAAGCTCCAGAAATGGACACTGGAAACAGGCCTCAGATTTACTTGACAAAGACATTCAACATCTGTCTTAAATATTCTCAGTGAGCTAATAGAGAATACAAGCAATGAAAGGAAATCCTGAAAAACACACTGAAAGATGAGAATATCAACAAAGAGATAGAAATGATTAAAAAGAACCAAACAGAAATTCTGAAGCTTAAAAATACTATAACTGAATTGAAAAATCTCCTGGAGTGGCCCAGTAGCTACATTGAACAGACAGAAGAAAAAAAATTCCTACATTTGAGGACATGTTACTGGAAATTACTGAGATGATGAGTGAAAGAAAGAAAGAAAAGTTAACATAAACCAAAAGACTTGTACATTGCCATCAAGTAGACCAATATACACATTAGGAAAGTCCACAAGGAAAAGAGAGATGAAAAAGAGGACTTAACTGAAGAAATAATGGCCCCCAATTTCTCAGATTTGAGGAAAGACATAAACCTATAAATATAAGAGCTTCAGCAAACTCCAAGTAGAATAATTCCCCGCAAAACTTACATTAAAACATAAACCATTGAAAGTCAAAGACAATCTTAAAACTATAAGAGAAAAAAATTTCAACCACAAAGGATCAACAAGGTTATGATTGATAATCAGGTTTTTTAGCAGAAATTTTTCAGACAAAAAAAGCAGTGTGGGATAGTTTAGGTGTTAAAAACAAAGCCTGATACTACAACCAGCAAAACTGTCCTTCAGTAATGAAGGAGAAATTAATTCAAATTTCTTAAAAGCCCAGGGAGAACTACCAGGCTTGTTCAACAAGAAATGTCAGTCCTTTAAGTTGATGCTTAGACAGTAATTCAAATCTATTAAAAATACAATAATTTCTCACAAAGGTGAATAGATGGACAAATACAAAAACTTGCGTTATTTTAATTTTGGTTTGTAAGTGAACTTTTTATTCTTCTATGGGATTTGGAAGATAGACACATACAGTAATTATAAATCTATGTTATTCAGTATGCACCATGTGGAAATGTACTTTGTATCATTTCAAATGTAATTTCAGACACATGCTACCACCTGGGCGAATCTTGAGGACATTGTGTTAGTGTGTCTCCAGAGCAGTATTATGTGCATCTACTTATATGAAGTAAACAGAATAGTTAAATCCATGAAGATAGCAAGTAGGATGGGGTTTACCAGTGACTGGGTGTTGTGGGGTGGAATTGTTCTGAATGAGAGCAGGGTTTCGATGTGGGGAGTTGGAAGAGCTCTGCAGATGGTTGTAGAACAATGTGATGGATGAAATGAATGGATGCCTGTGGATCCCCTGGGCTGCAGCGAGGGAAGTATTCTAGATCACCACCTGTTTTGTGGCAAGGCTTCAGTCAGATTCTTCTCCCAAGTGCACAGCAAAGTGTAATTTTATTTTATTTTATTTTTTAAGTATTAAGTCAGCAAAGATTTCTGCTTTGTTGAGGTGGGGCCAAGGTGGAAAAGTTAAAGCAGACACAGGGGCGCAGATCTTCCCACCCGGTGCCAGGGACTGCTTTCCAGTGAGTCCTGCTGCCTGTTTCCCACCACCTCTTGTCTTTTCCTCTCTTCTTGCAGATCCACAGCAACCACTAGGAAAAGGAGGCTTGGAATGACAACTTCCCAGGCTGCGCTCCCACCTCTGCAAGGTCAGAGAGATGGGGTCCTTGCTCTGTTTCTTTTTCCACTGCAACCTGAAATCCATTCCTATGAGAGTCTGGGGACTCCAGCATGCTTCAGCCAAACAGGAATGCAGCATGGCATCTCAGTGATTATTTAGGTTCACAAATCCTTGTTTATATGGATTTATTTGGAAAAATAAAGCCTTAAAATAGAAGACCAAGCTTATCACATAGAAGCCTTTTCCTACCAACCTAGAAGCAACAAACTGTGTGGTTTATTTTTTCCTTTTCTTTCAGATAGAGTAGATTCCAAGAGGAAGCTGATGTCAAATATTTGTACAAAGAGCCAGGGACGTAGGGCTGGCCTTTTAGAGAGGGAGGAGATGTTCTTTCCTGGACTTCTCCGGACTAGGGAGCTATAGGTTTACAATAATCATTTTTATAACCACGGCACTAGAGAGATTGTGGAAACGGTCTCTCTAACAGACACAGAGAGCAAATGGGAATGCAGAGCACCTGGTCAGCTCTCTGGGGTCTGAGCTTTGACCTCTAGCACACTCTGTCACTCTGAAAGCTGCCCAGGTAGTTAGTGGGGCTCTGCCGGGGAAATGGAACCCAGACCCATCAGACTGCAGTCCCTGGTTGAAATTCTTAAAGCCACAGGCAGGAGTGCTCCTTTCCCAAGCAGGAAGGCAGAGGAAGGGCAAGATGCTGTGCTGCAAGGCCACCGCCCCTCCAGGGCGTCTCAGAGTGGAGTCAGCCTGGGCACTGGGGCAACCAGACCAGGCCAGAGCCTGAACCCAAAAGGAGGCTGCTGCTGGACTGGGGATGGGGCTGAACACTAACGGCTTCTCTTTAGCCTTTCTCCCATGGGCAGCTCTGGCCTTGTGGAGAAAGTGGGGAGAGAATGTCCTGCAGTTGTCCCACCTACCTGGTGATGCTGCCATCATCACATGAGGGGTACTGGAGTGGCTCAGAGAAAGAGCTTTGGTGACAACATGTGTGTGTGCGTGTGTGTGTGTGCATGGGGGGGGACATAGAGAGATAGAAGGAGCAGGCTGGGGGGCTGTGTAGATTCTTACCCAAATCCCCATTCCTAACAAGCAGGGATGACTTGGGGAGTTGGAGCCAGAGCCAGGTTGGGTCACTCACATGGAGAGAAAAGCACGGGGATCTCCACTGAGGAGCGAGTGTGTGGCCACTGGCTGGGGAGTGAGGAGAGAGCACCAGGGACCAGGTGGCCAGGTGTGTGCCATGTGTGAGCTCTCAGTCCAGCGTGACAGACACAAAACCCAGCTCAGCTTCAGAGCCAGCCTCACACTTTCTGGCCAGAGCCAGAAGGAAGAAGGCAGGGAGGTCAGTGAGCGGCATCCGAATGGTGAGGACTTGGACAAACAACAACAGTAAAAACCTGCCGCTCCCCAGGCCCCCTGGGTCCCACCCCACCCTCCTGCTGTCTTCACCGGGGGCTCTGGGAGGCCTGGGTCCGACCCCAGGGACAGCTCCACAGATGTGCAAAATTCAGCTTGGTCTTTTGGGTCCAGGTTAGACAGAAAAACAATTCTAGGACAGATTGGGCTGAGACCTGGGGTGCGTGCGATGGGCTGTGATTGTCCTGACTCTTACAAAGGGTGAACCATGGTCTTCCCACAGAAGCCCCAGCGAGTCCCCTGTGGCACAGAGAGTGCAAGGGCCAAAGTGGGCACCAGCCCCGGCCTGGACCCCCACAGACACCTCTCTCCTTCTAGGCACAGAGTCAGTTATTTCCCTGCGCTTCTTTTTTCCTGTAACATTTTTTGACTCTGAGTCCAGGCAAAAGCTGAGATCTGGACCCTGGTCACCTGGTCACCCAGTCATCTGGTCAGTGCTGGGGAGTGGGGGACCAGGTCAGAACCCGCTCCTTTGGGAGGGTGCTTGACATATAGAATGGGCTTGAGTGGTGCCCTGTTCTGCAGAAGGAAATGTTCTTATTTCTTTCTCTTCATTCTCAAAATCAAAGCTGTTTATCACAGACACTGCAGGCCTGTGCGCCTGCAGCACCTGGTCCCAGAAGCTTCAGCAATCACCAAGACCCCACAGATGCTCATTTCAGGGGTCCTGCCTCAGTTTCCCTCTCTGTGTGGCTCTCCTGAGCTTCCAGGCAGTGGGGTCTGAGGTAAAACTGCCCCTCTCACCAGTGACCACGCATCTCTCCCAGTGAGCCTCTCCCTCCATGCAGACTGTTTAGTCTTTTCTAGAACACGGGTTACATCTGAAACAAATGCTCAGCTTTATTTTAATACCAAGTCTTTGAAACCCCAGTGGTTAATGATTCCACCAGCTGCCTCTCGTCCTCTTTAATAGCGACCTCTTTTCAGGAATAACTGCCACCTAATACCCCTCTCAAACATTAGGTCAGCAGAGTTCTTTGGCTGATTTTTCCATCAATGAGCTAGGAGTGGGGTGGGCATGAGCTGGTGAGGCCCAATTCCCTCTCCATGCTGTGTCTCTCTTCACTGCATGCTGGATACCTGTGGCTGCAGAGTAACAGTGGGAAGACTTCAACCCTGTCCTGCTAACAATACGCCCTGTCTTCCTGCCCTGCCCTCAAAGCACAAACACAGGAAACACAGGCGGTGGCATTCTCATTGTGGATAAGACTTGGAATGCTTCAGCAGTTGTGCTGCACTTCCTGTCCTGCCCCTGGTCACCTGCGCATGACTGCAGGCCATGGTCACACACCTGGCCAGCCTCTCAGGAGTAACGCTGGTGTAATGGCTGAGCTCTCACTCCTTGGGCAGCCGGCTGGCTGGGGGAAGGCAGAGGACTGATGGCACTGCTCTGGCCCCAGACTAGCGGGGAGCTGCCAGGAGCCACCCGGGCTAGCAGTGTCCCTGGAGGACGAGGCCTAACACAGTCAGTGTGAGTCTCAAACTGTCCCTACCCTGTGGGTGTCATTGTCTCTTGCCCCTCTGCCGATGCTCTTGTCCAACGTGCGAGACTCAGCCCAGAGGTCTCTCCCCACAGTGACACTGGCTGCCACCCTGAGCTCAGGAGCCTCCCTGCCACTTCTGCCCGGGCTTCCTCCTGTCCTTACATGAACTGTTGTTCACATGTGTATGTGGTAGACTGGAAATGACAGTGAAGCCACCTGTCAGTCAGAGTATAAAAGGTGATCTGAAAGTATGTGTGCATGTTTATTTTTAAAAAATTATTAGCCAGGCATCGTGGCTCACACCTGTAATCCCAGCACTCAGGAGGCCGAGGCAGGAGGGTCACTGTGAGTTCAAGACCAACCTGCGCTACATAGTGAGCTCTGGCTCAGTCTCAACTACACAGTGAGACTCTGTCTCAAAAAAACACCAAAAAAAATTATTACAATTAAAGACACATTTCCACGGGTCCTCCTCACAGTGCTCCCCTTTGCCCTGAACACACTCTTCCCATCATTCTTTGCCACTTCCTGCAGCAGCTCTGGAGTCCTCTAAGTATCTTTAGTTGCACTGTGCTGCCTGCCTTGATGTCCGGAATGGATTTAAAGCATTTCCCTTTCGTGGTCATTTTGACTTTGGAGAAGAGTAAAAAAGTAGCATGGTGCCAGATCCAGTGAAAAAAGTAGAGGAGGACACTGCATCGTTTTTATGAGTCTGCCTTTTTGTGGGACAGCACTTAGCAGCATCATTCACTGTTTTGTTTTAATCACATCTCATAAAGACACTCACAAAAGAGGGCTTCCAGACCTGCTTCAGAAAGTGGCAAATGTAATGGAATAAGAGCACTTGAAGTGAGGGGTGCGTAATTTGAGAGGGACTGTCTTAGTTACTTTTTCTTGTTGCTAAGACAAAATAGCAGACACTCCAAGTTAAAGAAGGAAATATTTATTTCAGCCCACAGTTTGTGGAGTTTCACTTTATCATCGGCTGGCTCTGGGACAGGGTCACGTGGTGGAGGAGAAACAATCCATGGCAGGCAGAAGGCAGAAAAAGCATCCAAGTAGCAAGCAGCAATTGATGTCCCTCTTTCACTCTCTTATTTCTTATCCAGGCTACCCACTCTTGGGGCGGGTGGCCCTTATGCCCTGAATCCCAGCATCACACACCCTAGACCCAGACACCTACAGAAAGTCCCACTTATGAGTGCATGAGACTTTGAGGAGACAGCTAGACACAGCCATGACAGGGACTGAAGGCAATGTGTCTTTCATTAAACATTCACCATGTCTCCCGATCACACCATGCACTGAAGTGCATGGGCTGTGAGGCTGGACTTTTGACGTGTAATTTTATTTCTTGTACTTTGCTGGCCTTGTGGCTGGGCAGAAATTCCCTTGTTACTAATTACAGCTGCAGTCGCAGTCAGTGTGAAGATCCAGAGATAAAGCATGCAAAATGAAAGCAGACTGTCTGGCATGTAGCAAACATTCCGTGTGCTATGTTTCCATTAATAGTAACACTGTTATTTTATAGTTATTATAAAGTACTGAGTTTCAAAGGTATTCCAGCCATTATGATAATGCTTTTTTTTTTTTTTTTGACTGAGCTGGGGACCCAAGAAATATAATAATGGTGGAGTTTTATTTTTTTGCCTCACTTTCAGCTGTGTGGACAGGGCCCACCCAGGATGTCCATTTCTTCTCCACCCACTCTGCTTGGCCATTTCTCCCACCAGGGCCCTGATAATGCAGAAGCCACTCGGTCCTTTGGTTAGAAACAGTCTTACTGGAAATATCAGCTTCAGCTCACTTTTGGTAGAACAAGCAGATGTTTCCAGCCTTATAAAAACATCGCCAACAACAAGCTTAAAAATTTTTACTGGAGAAATTAGCAAAAGTCCAAGCTGAAATAGTGTTTGAACATTTGAGCACAGAACCTTTGGTGTGAAACCATCATGAAAATAGAATCTTTTGTTTAGTGCTTAGACCCCCCCCAGTCATGCATCTGCATGGGTTCATACACACACACACACACACACACACACTGCTTGGAGGCTTTGAATCAAGTAGGCAGTTGGGAAAAAATATTGCTTTCATGCATTTTTTTCCTGAGGAAAGAGGTCAGAGATGAAATTCATTTCTGCTTTTTAAATTTCTTTCATTTGGGGGGAATTGAGGGAAGTAAAGAAAAGCCCATTTGTGTGTTTTCAGTTGTGTGTGTGCCTGTGTGCCTGGACACATTCCCGAGGGGAAATAATCCTCTTTGATGGTTTAGGGCTGCTTACAAAGCACAGTCACAGT